GAAGGCTGACATCAATCTTGCAAGTCTCTTTACAGCCCGAGAAACTAGGGAGGGTCCCTTCTTAGCCTATTGCCCAGCCCACTATCCAACTGCAGGCTATGCAGTCTCTTATCTGACTGTACCCTAGTCAGCTGCTCTTTGCCCCGTCTCTCAAGGTCATTCCCACATACCATTACAGGCCTGACTCCTGGTGGCTTCAAGATACCTCCACACCATTTTCTTGATGTGATACAGGTTTAACATTGCCTCTTCCAGAACAGTTTTCAATTTCCCAGTCTAGCCTACAGCCCTGCCACTTCTATCTGAGTGTGAATCAGCCTTACCTCCCTTAGTTTCTGCGTGCAAAGTCCACAATGCAGCTCAGCCCAACAGGCATCTGTTTGGTAGCACTTTGATCCTGGGGTGAGGTGGCCAGCAGAGAGTCTAGGCTGGCTCCCCAGAGACCAGGGCACAACTGGGATGCTACAACTGAGAAGGATCTCATTCTAAGAAGCAGCCCCCTGCAAATTTGAAACCCACTGGAGGTTTTCAAGAAAAGATTGGACAACCATTTTTGCAAGATGATGGCATGAAGACTCCTGCATCGGGCAGGGGCTTGGACTAGAAGACCTCGAAGGTCCCTTCCAACCCTAGGATTCTATGAGTCTATAAATTTGTCTTGGATGGTCTGTTTGACCTCTTCTTATGTTTGGGCTCTCTGGTGAGAAATGGAAGCTCTTGATCCACAAGGAGTTTTGGTGTTTTCCCCCCAAACCCTCACTGGGGGTGACTCTCATTTCTCTGTTCACCACGCTCTCATCTAATGGACATCTGAGATACATCAGGGATGGAAAGATAATCTGGTTAAATCTCTCTCGGGACCCTCATCCCTTCAATAAATTGTCAGGGTTTATGGTATCAGTGGGATTCAGACCAGAAGCAAAGTGTGTGTAGGTGTGTGGGGGTGGGGGTGTGTGCAGAGAGATTAAGACAGAAAAAAGGCTAATACTGAATTATGAAGAATACGCTAAAGTTTTGAGCGCTGCTGACGCTGATTTCTTTTAGCAGCTGATGGGGGTTTAGACTTGTTTTTCAAAGAAAGGATTTAACCATTATTTTTTTTGGGGGGGGGAACAGTGATAAAAGAGTGCTATCCAAATAAATAGAATGATTGTATGCTTCTCTTCCTTACTAATCTTCTGCTAAGCAGAAAACATGCATGTAGAATATGCAGATGAAGGTTTTGCAACTGATGGATCCTTCTGCAATGCCAAAAAAACGTGGTCTTTTCAGACAGGCGTCGGTTGACTGCAGGATCCAGAGGTGTTACTGGTTTAGCACCTATCACCCAGGGTTGTCAAACAGACTTGGATCTATCTTCCACCCAACCCTGTTTTGCAACGTAGCAAGAAAGTTCCCTTTCCTTTGTTGCCGACATGCACAAACAGTGGCTCCAAACTCACCCGCTCGGACAACTCCGTAGCCCTTCGGGCACTTCTGGTACGGCTGGCAGTTGTAGCATTTCTCAGACACGAAGGAGCTACAGAAGTGCTCAGGCGGACACCAGCAGGCTCGGTTTTGTGTCCTGGTGCATTTCTTTTCCTCCACAAATCCTAGTTTCAGAAAAAGGGATGGGCTGTTAGGGGGCAAGAGGCTGGCCAGAAAGGGGGCACCTGAAGGGGGAAGCTGGGGTGGGCTTTTGTGAGCTCCCTAACGCCTTCAGGAACTCTGGAATATGGGTCCTGAAAAATGCCCAACTCTCCTCTTCTGTCCCCACACAGCCCCACCGAAAGATGCAAAGACAAACAGGGAATGCAAGACAAGTGAACGTGCCTGTGATATTACCCCCCGGCTTTTAGTTGCATGCATCATCTCCAACTCCGAAATTATTTCCTTCATAGCGTAGAATAGTGGCGGGATCACCTGGTGTCCTACTTTCCTTTCCTATTCTCTATTCATAAAAGGGTCAAAGATAGAATAAGCTTTGAGACGGCCCATGCTAATTCCTCTTAGCATTGTTTCCAAGTTCTGTGCCTTTTGAGATACATATTTACATGTATATATTGTCTTCAAGTCAGTCCTGACTCCTGGTGACTCCTGGACTAGTCCCTGCAGTGGTCTTGGCAAGGTTTTTCCGGAGCGGCTTGCCAGTGTCGCCAGAACCTGTCTGGCTTCGGGTCTCAGGCGGGACGAGACCTCCCTTGGCGTCTAGCCTGCTGCCTTGACCACTACCCCAAACTGGCTCTTGTGTGGACCTGAGATATACAGCCTAAAATTAATTTCTCAGGGATGAGAAAAGGGAAGGAGATAAAAACAGAGAGACTCTTTCTGCAAAGTCACATCCTCGTGGTGATCAGTACACACACTTACAAAAGCAGCAGAAGAATTTAAAGCAAAACCAAAAATGCCCAGGAAAACAATGGCAGAGGGTGGTCCTCAAGCAGTCAACCCCCCAAAACCATCGGTCTGGGCGCTGCGGACAAACACGTCCTCCAGACTCTGTTACTGTTCATGATCAAGTCCTCAGATTTGTCCCCAAACCAGGGAGAGACAGAAACATGCATAAAAATTTACACACAGATGCACAGATAGAATATGTTTTTATTTGTTCGTGTCTCTGTCTCTGTCTCTGTCTCTCTGCTTTTGCTTATTTTCAGTCTCATTTTGGCCAGTTAACTGCTTTTGATGTTTGCTGATGTTTAAGAAATAAACCTAAAACTCTATTTTTGCTAGCTGAATGGAGCAGTGTGTCTGTGTGCACGCATGCTTGCTTGGATGCTAGCTGGGGAATTCTGGGAGTTGAAGTCCACACATCTTAAAGCTGCTAAGGTTGAGAAACCCTGGGTTAGGTTAGAGGGATTGACTGGGAGTGTGCTGGGGACAAACTAAACTAGAAATTACCCACAGCAGTTAAATTAGCCTGTCTCTGCAGTGGATTACTCCTCCCCTTACTTGGGTATCTGCAGGAGGATGTCAAAAAAGTCAAGATGGTGGGCATGGCTGCCATCTTAATTTTTTGACACTCACCTGCAGATGCCCCTGTCCAGTCATCCCAGTCGGCATGATTAATGGCCATCCAGTAGCCACAAATAAACAACGGGCCTCCTTGACAATCAGGAAACATTAAGAGAGATTTAACGCTTGGGTTTATTCTATTTACTGCTTTTTTT